GAGGAGGGCAGAGAAGCTGAGGCTGAGCCTTCCCAATCCTCCTGCCCTGCGTATGATGAGCTTTTGAAAGTTATGAATCGCGTCACGGCGAGGCTTTATTTGCCGTGAAGCGGGCGAAGAAAGTGACGTTGCGAGGTATCTCGATGAACGTTATTTTTCTGACCATAACCCTCCAGCTCAGGTGAGCCTTCCTTTCTTCCTGTTTCCATACAGAGATCGAGAAGGAATGGAAGAGGCCATTTTTCCTCACGCATCCATCAACTCCAGCATACAAGTTATGCCAACATCGAGACGATGCGCGAAAGCGGTTATGAGAAGATGCCCCTATAGAGAGACGCTGGCCAGCTATCTCTCTATGGGTGAAACGTCCTCTCTTAAGACTCCCTCCTTGACATCTCGCTCGAATGTCAGGGCATACGCAACCGCAGTAGGTCGGGCTGGCGCTTCATTGCACACGATGGTGATGCTCCAAGCATATCAGGCTGACCTGCTGAAAGACCTGGATAAAGGCGAGGGCCTTTCTCCTGATGAGGTAGCTCAGTGCGCCGCACCACGGATCTCGCTCTCTGTGCTACTAAGCAGGCCGCCTCTGCTAGTGGCAGGTCCATGGTGGCTATGGTAGTGACGAAGGGACATCTGTGGGTGAATCTAGCAGATATCGGTAAAAAAAAGAGGGGCTTTCTTCTCGATGCGCCGGTTTCGCCGTACGTATTTTTTTGGTACATCCTTTTAGGCAGTGGTCGAGAAGTTCAGGGAGGCAAAGGCGCGCTCAGTGGCCTTCACGAAGGTCCAGGTCTGAGCCTGAGCAACATAGGGGTCCTGGTCCGTCTCGGTCTGAGGATAAGAGACGGGCACAGAAGGCTAGTGTCGCGGCTTGCGACCCTCCTCCGCCTGCGGGTAGGGGTAGGAGGAATCGCAGGCCAAAGGGAGGTAGGCAAGACCTTAGGGATGTGATCCAGACAAGGCATCAGCGCTTTCGCCCAGATCAGAGTGATACTTGAGTATCTACACATTTCCTTCGGGGGTTTTACATCTGCCCTTTTCTTCCCCATTTTCACTCAAAATCTCACGATACATGGCCCCATTCATTCTTTCGTTTACACGGATCAGTCGTCCCGGTCCCTTTGCATGGAAACAGCCCCAAAGCAGAGTTGAGTTCTCTGTTTTTCCCAGAGCACCTGGAACCAGCAGCAACAGGTGAACATAGGCCCTTCACTCCGCCTCTCTGATGCGCTGAGTTTTTTGGCTAGATTGCAGTACGCTTACCCTCTGATTTCCAACGATCATGCTGTGCGAGCCCCCTCTCTCGTTGAGAGCTGGGTCTATGCTCCCTCAGCTAGGTAACTTACTGCTAGCAGTTCCAGCATTGGAACATGCTGTAGGTCCGAGCCTCCCCCCTCTTGTTTGAAGAGCTGGGTGTGTTGCTCCCTCAGCTCAGTAAATTATTGCTAGCCAATCCAGCTTTATGCCTTAGATCGAGTTGGTGAATTCTGTCATCATTTACTCATCCTCATGCCATTCCAAACCTGTATGAATTTCATTATTTTTTATGGAACACATTAGAAGTCCTGAGGATTGTACCGGTTGCTGTTCTGCACTTCCAAAAGGATGCAAATGCACCACAACTGTTTCACAAATGTGGTCAATGCACCTTATGCACTATATTCAAAGTCATATGATATTTAAAATTTTCATTGTTCACTGATAATCCTCACCTTCTGTAAGCTGGATCATTAAATCAGTGAGCTGAACTCAAGGACCATAATTAGTCAGATATAAGTTATACGTTTTTTTTTTTTTATTAAAGTTCCAAAAGGGTTTTTAGTTGCAAAGAACCATTTTAGGTTCTTCAAAAAAACTTTCAGCGAACAGTTCTTAAAAGAAACTTTTTTCATCTTATTGGAACCACATTTTTAAGAGAGTCATAAAGAGCATGGATAGTCTCCAAAGTTTCTTTCTTTTGTGTGTGTGTGTACACTGTGTGTTTGTGTATTGTGTATGTAATCATATTGGTTTGGAAAAGACACAAAGGTCAGTATATGATGAAATAATTGTCATTTTTGGTTTAACTATTCCTTTAATATAATGGACAAGAAGCCAGCTGGAAATGAAAAGACAGGGCCAGATGCAAGGGGAAGAGGATCCATATAGGAAGACAGTGCTGCTCTTATTGTGTGCATTCCCTTGTCAGCATCCTATAGATGTTCTCAAAACATCTAGAGAGGTTCTATATTCATTTCTGCTGACTGGTTCATGCGTCACACATTGCCTCATGCACAATACAAATCTGAAGTGGCAACACAGAATTGGGCTTTCATCAGACATGCTTTTCTGTGTGCGCTTGATCATGGCTTCTCATCACCAATGAGAGTGAAGATCTTCATTCTGAGTTTGATCAGTAAAATAAATGTAAGTTTGAGGGTTTGAAAGAGTGCCGGAAGGATCTAGAGGAGCAGACATCTTCTCGTATAAGACACCACATAATTTACACAAGTAGGACATCAACATCCTTTGATATTCCTGGAACCACATTCAACCAATCACTAGCCTCTGGTTTTAGGTGTAGGGCTGAAATTGGTTGACAGGAATGTTGATTTAGGATCAACGATAGATATTGATCCACAAACTCATCCCACTTTTGTAATGACATTAAGTCTCAGTTTAACATCTGAGTGCAGTTTATTTTTTAGACTGGATAAAGGAAAGTTGGGCACTTGGCATTCACATCAGAGAGTGAACTGGGACTCTATTCCAAACCGCAGTGAACCACCTATATGCCCTTACAAATATACAGTTGCCTGTACCACAATCCACTGATGGCATCAAATGATAATACCCTGTTTTTTTTTTTTAATGAAACCATACATTTGTACAATTTTACAGTGTATTAAAATGGTAGGGTACAATGGCTAAAAGCACATCTTAAGAAAATTAGTTTTTTCACTTCTCCTATAGTGTATGATTGCAGGGGGATATATATATATATATATATATATATATATATATATATATATATATATATATATACTGTATATATATACTAAAATAGGGTACTGTATCATACACATTATTTACTATTTGATATTTCTATTTAGTTTCTGTTTAAAACCTTGTACGATCTGATATACTATATATGTTTCTCTGTTTCATTCTCTCCCGGAGCTGGTCTGTAATTTATTCTTTGTAATTTATTGATTTGCATTTAAGTAAAAGTAGTTTTAGCAAATGTCAACCACTAAGTATTTTCTTTGAACTTCCATGTTCTCTAATTAACTATTTTTATAGAGTCCTTTTATTTCAGGATGTGGATGATTGTTCTGACATAACTCTTTACACATAGTTCCTCTGAAAAATAAAGAATATAGAAAAATAAAGAATAAAGAATAAAAAAAATAAACTTTTCCTTTTATTGAACATTTTTAAACTAAATGCTAAATAAAAGGAAACACTTAATTTTTTGTCATTTTATGGTTTAATTAAACAAAAATAAGAAATGTTATTTTAAAAAAATAAAAATGTATGTGTTACAAAAGGCATATTTGTTCAATGAAAACTATGAAGGGAACAGAACTGCATTTAAAATGGGCTTCCCATGTAATCTGAAGTACTTCCAGTTTAAGATCAGCCCATTTCCAGATACAAGCTGTGGCTCATTTCAGAGGCTGCATCCTTTCAAAGATGTGAACTTAAAAGGCTTTGTCTTTGTACATGTTACATGCTAGTAATGTTTCTACTTTTTTAAAAGATAGATAGTCTCAGATAGTAATTTGCCTGAAAACAACAGGGTTCACAACCTGTCTAAATATATTCACCTTGGTTCATTTCTGTATATAATAAAACGTATAAACTATCTATAAATTCACATCTTAGATGCCAACATTTAAACCAATTTCAAGTGTTTTGTGTCCAAAAATTTAATCTGGCATTCTCTCAAAAAAAAATCCTATTGTCACCAACGTGCAATGAATCTTAGGATAGTCTGGGCTGTGAATGTTCCATATGCTCCATGGCCTAGGAAACAAAGGGTACATTTCAAGGATCTGAAGGAGCATTTGAATTGGCCGAATGCTGCCTTTGAAGGATGCAACTTCTGAATTGGGACACAGCTACAGATAGAAATAATTTTAAGATTCCTACAGATAGTGATACAGATCTGCTGCAAAAACCTTAGTTACTTTTTATGCTTTAACACCTTAACTTCACATCTGAAATCAATAAAGGCATATCTTATAATTGTTTTTGTAATGGTCTGTCATGCAATACAGTATATCTGGATCCTTTCATTGCTATAAAAATATAGAAAGCAGACTGACTGACAACATCTTACTATTTGATTTGTATTTGCCAGTTGTATTAATTTTCTTTGGTGATGGTCAATTACTACTATGAGTAATTTCCACAATAAAAAAAAAACAAAAAACTTTATGCATAATTTATGTACAGTACATTATATTACATTAGAGATGGCTTCACAATTTTTAACAAGAAAAGTAAACCTAATCTATGCTTGACAAGTAACAACGAGCTTCTAAGTAACTGAAGAAATAACTGAAGGAGTAGAAGGAAATTGGTTAAGAAATGTAAATATAATTGCACTTTTATCTAGAAAAAAATAAATGCAGCTCCCCTGTTTAGTTGTATCTCAGCAACGGGCCAAAGCAGCCAATGAGGCATCTATGTATTTATAGGTCAAAGGATATTTCCCTCAACTGCATCAGACATTTAATGAGCTTCTCACAATGCATTATAGCATTTTTTAGGCTTGAAACATACCTTATGCAACAATGTTACACACTGTAGCATCTAAACTGTGTTAAAATTACATTCTTACTTTTGCTGCAAAAGACACTATAAGTAACTACACTACAGTAAATTCAGATTAACCAAGGCCATGGTGCAGCAACAGTCTGAAAAGAATCAAGTTGTTCAAACTGTCAATATGTTTACAGCTTTAGCTAAATAACTGTTTTGGAGTCTGGTTAGGCAGTTCACTAGAGTTTAAAACAAAGTCTAGGTGAAGTAGGAACTTTTAGTGGAACAGGCCGGAGCTCGTGCTTACCTCTGATGGAGACATTGGCTCCTCCAGACCACAGGGGGCACTGTCTGGAGACGTGGTTGAAGACCTTGTTGTCTTTGTCTCAAGTTGTTCTTGTTTTTCTGACCCTGTCTCTGAGTGGCTTCTTTGTGGTGATATTCTCTTCACCTTTTCCTCATTCTTCTCTGTTTCATCATAATCTTCCTTCAAACTCTTATTTCGCTCCAATATTCTACCTGAGGATTCCTGTTTCTCTTCCTCCTTGAATTCCATAGTCACTATAGACTCCAATTTCTCTTTTTCCATGCGTATGCTTTTCCTTTTCTTTTCTATCTCTTGCTCAATCTCTGATTGTCTCTCTTGCTCTTGTTTCAGCTGTATTTCCATTTGTCTCTGTCTTTCCTGTTTCCTCTCAACCTGGATCTCAATCTCTCGTTGTCTTTCTCTGTCCCTCTCAATTTGTTTCTCCAGCTCTCTTTGTCTCTCTCGCTCTCTCTCTACTTGTCTTTCAATTTCTTTCTGTCGCTCTCTATCTTTCTTCATTTCTCTCGCTATATTTATCTGTCTTACTGCATCACTTGTGTCCATCTTTCTAACTGTTTGCCTTTCACTCGGATTCCCAATGTCCTTCGACTTTCCTTCCCCCTTGTCTCGTTTGCTCTCACGTCTCTCCTTTGGTCTCAGTTTCTCAGTTTCTTTCTCCCTTACCCTGTCCTCTTGCTTGTTGCCCACTTCCCTGATTGACTCAAAATCAGATAACATCACATCCCTCTCGTTGACTTGGCCAACCAGCTCACAGAGTTTGGATCTCAGTTCCTGTTCCAGGGTTTCATTAACAGAGGAGCCCCTGAGCAAAGGGCCCTGAATGCTTAACTCTGGTTTGCTGGCCCCCGGTTGGCTCAGCATTGGTGGGCTAGCGGCACTAGAGTTGTGAGCCACTGTGTTCTGATAGTCAGGTTCAGGGGTCATGGCATCAGAGGTCAAAAGGTCAGGAGGGGTCACAGTGTCTGGAGTCTGGTAATTCAGGGGGACTGGGCTCTCCTGGCTCTGTTGCCGGCGCATCATCATGGCGTTGAGGAGGACAGCACTGTTCTCCTGTTAATGTGATGTGTTAAAGAGAGGGACAGTTGAGAAGAGCAGAGAGGGAGAGAGACAAATATTATTGATGAGAAAAAAATAATAATACAAAATAAAGACTTTACGACCGACATAAAGGAGTTAAAAGATATCCCCACATTGCATGCCAATAAAAGCACAACTCTGTCCTGCACTGCCACCTACTGGAGTATAAACCACATTCAAATTCAAAAATGAATTCTAAACAAGTTTTCTTACTTTTTGTTTTCAATGATTTTAGAATATCTGTCTCTGTTGCTGCTACTCTTGCCAAAATTGTCATTTTCTATTTAGTATCTAAAATAATGACAAATAATGAATAACATACATTCACCTTAAAGTCAATATAATACAAAAGCAGCATGTGTGTTGTTTTTAAAGAATATCATTGGAAATGTATAGAAATTTACATTTACCATGGAAAAAAATGTGTCAATAAGTAACATTTTTAAACAGAGGGGGAGATGACAGTATTTCTCCAGGTGGAAGGAGAAGTGTATTAAATGTTTCCACTAACAGGAAAACTCAATAATTTAAACGTAATGCCTTAAATAACACATGAAGCAAAAAATAATAATAATTACAGCAGGAAATATATTAATATTATAATAATAATATAATATAATAATATTGTAATATTTAAAGTTGATAATAATAATCTAGGCTACATAACAATAATACAATAATCACGTTATGTGGGGTTAAACAATCTTATAATTAAGGTATTCACTTCTAGTTAGTTTTTGCACACCTAACTGAAATATAAGCATATGTTGAGCCTTGATATGCAAGCCGCAGCAAAATGAGATGTCTTTATCATACTTTAAATCTCCAAATCTCAACCACTATATGTGCCAAAATAATCTCATTATGATTTTTTTTGATCAACCAGAAGGCTGTAGTTCTTCTCACCGCCGTGGCAGCGCTGTAAAGCGCATTATGTGCTCGGCTGTGCTCTGGTGTCTCGCGTTTGCTCTTTTTGCGCCTCCGTGATCTTTTAACCTGCTCGCTCTGCTCCTCCCCGTCACTGCTGTCCCCTCCCAGATGGGGGTTAAAGTTCACATCCAGCACCTCTGGCCTCAGTAGAGGCGAAGTGGCACTGTTTGCGGGATGTCTGTAGGGTGGATACAGGTGTGCTTCAGGCGGCCCCTTCTTCTTCTGCGTCATACCATGGGCTGGTCTGCGGGCTCGAGCGGACGGGGCAGGAGACGTCTCCGAGTCTGAGTTCAGAGTCTCCGTGTTGGTGTACTGACCTGAGGAAGGTGAGGTGACGGGTGGGTGTTGGGTGTATGTCCATTCAGGGTCGTGTTGAGAGTCAGTATAGTACGTTTCATCGGAGAGACGTCTGCGAAACTGTAACAGGGCAGCCCCCCAGCCCCCCTGGTCCTCTGGATCTGAATCAGAGCCCATCTCATCATACGCGGACACAACGCCTGATTCTTTCTCCAGCACGCTGAAAACAAGACTCTTGCGCTTGGTCAGCAGACCAGGTCGGGAATGCTGGGAGCTCTGCAGGGCGATCCAGTTACCATCAGGGGATTGCAGGACTGAAGACGCACCTGTGGAGAGAGATATAGACACCTGGACAGACAAATATAGAAGATGTGTGTGTGTGTGTGTGTGTGTGTGTGTGTGTGTGTACCACATATTCAATCACAAAATGAGAAAAAGCCAATTTTCTATGTGGATATAGACACCTGGACAGACAAATATAGAAGATGTGTGTGTGTGTGTGTGTGTGTGTGTGTGTGTACCACATATTCAATCACAAAATGAGAAAAAGCCAATTTTCTATGTGGGGATCATTTTCTAGGTCTCATTTTCGAGTTGAGTAGTAGTTCTAGATGTGTATTTTTTACATACCAACCAGATGTGAAATTATTTTTGCAATTATGTTTGATAGACACTCAAAACAGAATTAAACATGTCACTTTTGTAGACTTAATTTGCACCCAGTCAAAATTCTGTTTTAAAGGGACAGTTCACTCAAAAAGTTTTGGTCAACAATCTTCCATCTCGCAAATAAATCAAGGTTTATTCATGTTCTATATGTACGTTTTGTTCTAATGATGACTACTGTGTGTGTGTGTGTGTGTGTTTTCTTACTTGAGTTGTCCAGGCGGTCAACACTCTTCCACCCAGGAAGTGATGATGCTCTGGACTCCCTCCTGAGTGAAGAGTAGTTCTGGAAAGCGGTCTCTACTTCAGTGCTGTCCGGGACCCCTGGGGCCATGCCCACCTCAGGGCCCTTCTCTGGAGAATCGTCACTTGTCAAAGAGAATGCTGATCTTGACTTCTAAACACGTCCACCAACCCACATGTACAACATTAGTAATTTAAAATTATTGAAACTGTGAACCAATAATTAAATTTTTTTTTTTAAATTATTATATATTATTACTATATACGTTATTGTAAGATTGAAAAAATCAGTTATTTTATTTATTATTACTATATACGTTATTGTAAGATAAAAAAAAATCTGTTATTTTATTTAGGAAGGATGCAATAAATTGACATTTGATTTAGACATTTATAAATGCTACTTTATTTATTTACTTATTTTTTTTTATATATATATTTCAAAAAATTTTGTTCTTTTGAACTTTCTATTTGTCAAACAAAAAAATATATCATGGTTTACACAAAAATATTAAGCAGCACAAATGTTTTCAAAATCGATAATAATAGACATTGTTTGTTGTTTTTAATAAATAATATGCATGGAAATATACAGGTATCTCATTTACAAACAATTCAGTCAATGTCTTTGTGTAGGCAGATGGTTAACTGTCAACTCAACCAGAGGTCCCTGGCTCAAATTTTAGATTTTGCTAATATTTTTTCTGAAGAAAGATAAACATATTTAGTGATGAAAGCCAAAATATTAAATGTCATGGATGAATATTTACAGAGTAATCCGCTTTTTTGTAGAGGAGGGTCAAAATGGCAATTTTCACCTGAGATTCAGAGCCAAATTACAGGGGGCTAAAAATGACCTCAGAAAGATGGCAGCATCATAATGTTACTTTTACACAGAGATTGGTAGGTTTATTAGTAAAATCTGTTGACTTTAGCAATCTTTATAGCATTATGTGCCAATGGTGACCGTTCAAAAATGGGGAAAGAGCATTTTTCAAGTTTTTTCTCCAAAGTTTGCAGGCCTGTAATTCAACAAGTATTACATATATCTTAATGCCCTTTTAGATTTTAGGTCTTAACAAACTTTTCTTTTGATGTCTTCATTTTTAAGGCCCTATATTGTTCAGTTCCAGAGATACTGGAATTTCAATATGGCTCCAGGAGTAAATCGTTAAATTGTGCACACTTTTAAAGGTCAAAAACCAAATGTGGATCAATTTGCAAAAATATGATACTTATTTTCTTTTAAAGAGGAATGTCTAAAGAACAAATAATGTTGAAACTAGAAATGTATCTTGTTTTCTTCTGTCAAAACAACTGCATTGAACATAACTGTCCGAAGGTCACAAATATTATTTTTCCAAAGTTTGCGTGCCTATAACTCAAGTAGTCTTAAAGATATTGCAATGTTATTTTAGATTCTAGTTCTTAATAGACTTTGCTTTTGGAATCTTCATTTTCAAGGCCTTATGTCATTCAGTCCCAAAGTTGGGGGGTCTCAATGAGGCTCCAGATTGTTGAATATTACCCATTTTCAGTGGTCAAAAACCAAATGTTGGTCAATTTGTATACAGCCTATACTCATTTAATTGAAAGAACAATGTCTGAAGAATAAATAATGTTGAAATTAGAATTGTATCTTGTTTTTCGTCTATCAAAACAATATGTATAAAACATACCTGCAGGAGTGCTAAAATACACTGAAATGGACAAGCTGAGGCACATTACCTTTCTTTCAGTAGTCTATTCATAAGATTCTATATTTGAATCAGTTTCAGGGATATTTTGAAGAAGGGATTTTGTTCATTTTAACAGCTTCTGAAGCTACCAAGAGTTTAGATATGCAGTTTTGTAACATGTTTGAAACAAATCCCATGCCTCCTAATGAAAAGTGGCTGCTTTTGCTACACATTGCATTCACATAAATGTTCCTTATCTTGAATAATTATTAGACTTTCTTTTTCTTTTTTATTGTTATATAAGGTGAAGCTTCATCAGATTAAGTAGTATCTACTGCTAAAGGGCATATTTGGCAGAATCACTGATAGTAGGCTAACTGAAACATTTAAGATCTCTCACACTTGGAATAATTAACACTGGGTAATTCTAAACCCGAGGAAAACGGGACCCTAAGTAATAATATTTCACATTTCACACTGTTCATACTTTACATAGAGTTAACAATTAATCCTGGTTATTCATAATCTGACGAATTCTTCAGATATTCTGCTTTAAATACAACTAGATAAAAAAGTTTGCCAAGACAAACTTTAGGTTGGCTTGAGAAAGCCTAGCCTAAAAGTTTAAAGCAGCTGTAAAAGCTTGAGGTTTGAAAATTTAAATAAATTAGAAAATTAGCATGTTGCTAGCATGATTAGCATGTTGCTAATCATGTTTCTAGCATGATTAGGGTCAAAAACCAAATGTTGGTCAATTTGTATACAGCCTATACTCATTTAATTGAAAGAACAATGTCTGAAGAATAAATAATGTTGAAATTAGAATTGTATCTTGTTTTTCGTCTATCAAAACAATATGTATAAAACATACCTGCAGGAGTGCTAAAATACACTGAAATGGACAAGCTGAGGCACATTACCTTTCTTTCAGTAGTCTATTCATAAGATTCTATATTTGAATCAGTTTCAGGGATATTTTGAAGAAGGGAGTTTGTTCATTTTAACAGCTTCTGAAGCTACCAAGAGTTTAGATATGCAGTTTTGTAACATGTTTGAAACAAATCCCATGCCTCCTAGTGAAAAGTGGCTGCTTTTGCTACACATTGCATTCACATAAATGTTCCTCATCTTGAATAATTATTAGACTTTCTTTTTCTTTTTTATTGTTATATAAGGTGAAGCTTCATCAGATTAAGTAGTATCTACCGCTAAAGGGCATATTTGGCAGAATCACTGATAGTAGGCTAACTGAAACATTTAAGATCTCTCACACTTGGAATAATTAACACTGGGTAATTCTAAACCCGAGGAAAACGGGACCCTAAGTAATAATATTTCACATTTCACACTGTTCATACTTTACATAGAGTTAACAATTAATCCTGGTTATTCATAATCTGACGAATTCTTCAGATATTCTGCTTTAAATACAACTAGATAAAAAAGTTTGCCAAGACAAACTTTAGGTTGGCTTGAGAAAGCCTAGCCTAAAAGTTTAAAGCAGCTGTAAAAGCTTGAGGTTTGAAAATTTAAGTAAATTAGAAAATTAGCATGTTGCTAGCATGATTAGCATGCTGCTAATCATGTTTCTAGCATGATTAACATGTTGTTGACATTATTAGCAAGTTGTTGATTAGCATGCAGTTAATCGTCGCCGGCCAACGAGTTGGTGTTTTTTCAATGTATGCTTCAGATACGAGTCACGACGAGGCGTTCCCCATAGCGACCCCTAGAGGACGCAGTGTCTCGTTCCCTACTCAGGGAACCATGGTTACATAAGTAACCCGAGACGTTTTCTGACATGGTTTTCTACTGATATTTTTTCTTTATTATATCACTGAATGTTACCAAAGACATATCATAGAGAGCAAGTCATGACTAAAAGGAGATCACATGATCACTGACTTCACTGGTAGCTGGCTCTCAGCGAAAACGAAAGACTTCCGGTTGCTTTGTCAAGACAAATTGCTGTCAATGCGAGAATCAGTAGCTTTGAGCTTGTGATGCTTTGGTGTGAAACTTGATCTAGGAGTTCCCAGCTGTGTTGAGTGCAATATACTGGGAGGGAAAACACTGAAAGGGACTTTATTCTAGAGGGAAACGGATGAAAGCTTTGAGGATACCTTGTTGAATGATCAGCAAAAAAAAAAAAGGAAAAGAGGTTCAGAACAGGCAAAACAGTCAAATAAATTTGTATGATTCCTGTTCCAACACTTGGCGTCTCCAAACACAATGTTCTATGAACATTGTTCTATGAACATTTAGAGACCGCATTTTGTTAATATAGGGTGACCATACGTGCCATTTTTCCCAGACGCGTCCTGGCCAGGATTTCTTTATTGCTTAAAATATCTAGGTTTTGGCTTTGTTTGCGTGTGCAGAGCGATCGGTGTATGACATCAAAGTACCATACAGACGGTTCGTTATGCGTTCAAAATGCTCTCGAGGTACTTTGATGTCAAACACTGATGGGTCTGAGCCACGTTGCTCTAAAGTTGAACACACCTAATTTGTACGCATAAATTCCATCGCTTTGACCGTAGATCCCACCTTCTCACACACCATGATTGGTCCATTATGTACAATGCCTGCATGTTATTGTCACACACATATATACATGTATAGCATGTTGTTACCTTGTTACCTAATAAGTATCAGCTGTACACAAAGTGACCAACATTTGGTTTTCAAGCGCAGAAATTGGGTAATATTCAACAATATGAAGCTTCACTGAGATCCCCCTATCTTTGGGACTGAATGATGTAGGGCCTTGAAAATTAAGATTCCAAAAGTAAAGTTTATTAAGAACTAGAATCTAAAATCATATTACGATATCTTTAATACTACTTGAGTTATATGCACGCAAACTTGGGAAAAATAGTATTTATGGCACTCGGACAGTTATGTTCAATTCAGTTGTTTTGATAGAAGGAAACGAGGTACATCTCTAGTTTCAACATTATTTGTTCTTCAGACATTTCTCTTTAAAACAAAATAAGTATCATATTTTTGCAAATTGACCCACATTTGGTTTTTGACCACTGAAAATGTGTACAATTTAACGATTTACCCCAGGAGCCATATTGAGATCCCAATATCTTTGGAACCAAACCATATAGGGCCTTAAAAATTAAGATACAAAAAGAAAAGTTTGTGAAGACCCAAAACCTAAAAGGACATTAAGATATATTTGATACTTGTTGAGTTACAGGCCTGCAAACTTTGGAGAAAAAACTTAAAAAGTGCTCTTTCCCCATTTTTGAACGGTCACCATTGGCACATAATGCAACAATGATTGCTAAAGTCAACAGATTTATTTGATGTAGGGCCTTGAAAATTAAGATTCCAAAAGTAAAGTTTATTAAGAACTAGAATCTAAAATCATATTACGATATCTTTAATACTACTTGAGTTATATGCACGCAAACTTGGGAAAAATAGTATTTATGGCACTCGGACAGTTATGTTCAATTCAGTTGTTTTGATAGAAGGAAACGAGGTACATCTCTAGTTTCAACATTATTTGTTCTTCAGACATTTCTCTTTAAAACAAAATAAGTATCATATTTTTGCAAATTGACCCACATTTGGTTTTTGACCACTGAAAATGTGTACAATTTAATGATTTACCCCAGGAGCCATATTGAGGTCCCAATATCTTTGGAACCAAACCATATAGGGCCTTAAAAATTAAGATACAAAAAGAAAAGTTTGTGAAGACCCAAAACCTAAAAGGACATTAAGATATATTTGATACTTGTTGAGTTACAGGCCTGCAAACTATGGAGAAAAAACTTAAAAAGTGCTCTTTCCCCATTTTTGAACGGTCACCATTGGCACATAATGCAACAATGATTGCTAAAGTCAACAGATTTATTTTACTAATAGACCTACCAATCTCTGTGTAAAAGTAACATTATGAATTTTTAACCCCCTGTAATTTGGCTCTGAATTTCAGGTGAAAGTTACCATTTTGACCCCCTCTACAAAAAAGCGGATTGCTCAGTAAATATTCATCTATGACATTTAATATTTTGGCTTTCGTCACTATACATGCTGAACTTTCTTCAGAAAAATATGAGCAAAATCAAAAATTTGAGTCTGGAAAGTTGCGCCACGGAATGACCTTATAGTAGTTTACAATAGTGTGCATATTGAGTTACTCAAAAATAGTAATTACCTGTAGTAATTATGTGATAATCATTATGTTATAATTTACACATGTCTGACAGTTTTCTGCACAAACTGTTCTTTTATGCACAATTTGCATTTGGTTGTAGTTAAAAGTTTGTAGCTGTAGGAACCAAGCAAGTTGCATTAAATGAGTTTCACCAGTAGGGGGTGCTAGAGAATTGCATTTATACCTTACTGACTTACTGTGATTTCCCATTAGACATTTTTATAATGCAGCTATACTGAATATCACTAAAATGTGTGTGATTATTGACAAATAAGCTTTTATCAGTATTCTTCTCTCTTGTAGTACAGCCATTGCTTTTCATAGATTCCGGCATTATTTTTAACACTATGTTTCCGCATGCTACAGCAGAAGAAATTGTGTATGTTACAAATGAGGTCAGGAATATCAAATAAGCACTGCAAAACACATAAATATTGTATTTTAGGTGCATGTTATGGTAGCTTTAACATGCTCTTACCCACAGCGGATAGGAGCTGGTACTGTCGGTCTGTGCTACTGCGCCGTGCTGAGAGGTGGAGTGTGAATGCTGCGTTGTGTGTGTGTTTTGTGTTGAGGTAGGGGAAGGAAACTCACTACTCTGAGGCCATACAAACTCATACTCAGCCTGAATCTCAGACCGTTTTCCCCTCTGAATGATCTACAGAGAAAGACATGAAAAAAGAAGATAAACAGACAGCTGGGTAAGAGTTGCATCATGATTCCCAACCGCACTACACTTTACTTTATACTTTAAGCGATGCCATAGAAGAACCATTTTTGGTTCCACAAAGAACCATTCAGTCAAAGGTTCTTTAAAGAACCATCTTTCTTGAGTTTTTGTAATCTGAAGAACCTTATTTCGCCACAAAGAACCTTTTGTGAAACAGAAAGGTTCTTCAGATGTTAAAGGTTCTTTATGGAACCATTTAGACAAAAAGGTTCTTCTATGGCATCGAGAAGCACCTTTATTTTTAAGAGTGTATATGGAATTCATATCCAAACTATATGGTGTAGTATGCAAGATTATGACTAATGTGTCTCAAACCATACCATTGTGCATTGAAAATAGCATGCCGAATGTCTACAGATGGATTATCAAAGCTTTTGAGCTAATTTTCATAATTTTTTTGTGCTACAGTGGAGGTTGTGACAAGATAACGTTGACGTGTCAAGGAATTTGAGTTATACTGCCACAAGATATTGAAATGTATGAACTCATGAGCAAATTACTCACTAGATAATTCTCATCACCTAAGAATTACATGAGTGACTCTCCAGTCAAGAACATAACCAGTACATATCTCACCACAATAAGAAACAAATTGGAAATTGTATTTTACTTACTGAAAATAAAGCCTATTTTTAATTCTATTAAGATGTTTTTTGCAGTTTTAAAATGCCAAGTCGTATTCTCATTAAATAAATGTAAAGTAAACCAGTGGTATACATTATTTAAATTGCAATCATGGTAGTATGTTTGTATTGCCTATATATAAAAACATCACTGTATGAAATTAATGTAACCCTAAGTTTCTTCTCCTTATTTTCTTATTTCTTTAAAATTCTTAAAATGCCCCTATTATGGATTTTTGAAAATTACCTTTCATGCAGTGCGTAACACAGCTCTAAGTGAATGAAAACATCCTGCAAAATTTTTAATTTGAAAGTGCACCATGTATAAAGTTATTGTCTCTCAAAAGAAAGAGTCGACTCTGAATTATTGAGATGAGTCGTTTTTAAAACGAATCCCAAGCCGTTCAAGTACAGCAGTGATTACAGCAATTGACCAACACTCATAATCAAGAGTCATTATTCCTCATGCCAACAGGTAACTCAATATAACACAGGACATATTGCCAAATTTCCCTGTGTGTCTGTATCTGTAGAGAAGGAGTTTTAAGTTTAGAGTTATCAAAGGGAATGTTTAAATAAAGTCTTCTGTTGTCAGGCCTGATGCAAGTTCTGCGCGCATTGAAAGGCACACAAACGGTTTATATTCAGTAAATCTGACTGAATCCAGATGCTTTGAGCGGTTACAGATAGGCTTTTGAGTTTCATGTAGACTAATTACCTTGTACTATATTGTTCACGAGTTTAGGGTCAGTAACTTTTTTTAAAAGAAATAATACTTTTATTCAGCAAGGATAAGTTGATCAAAAGTGACAGTAAATACATTTAAATGTTACAAAATATTACTAATTCAAATACATGTCGTGCTTTTAGAACTTTCTATTTCTTGGAATAGAATCTTGGAAAAACATGTATCATTATTCTACAAAAATATTAATCTGCACAACTGATTTCAACATTGATAACAATAATACATATTTCTTAATCAGCAATATCAGAATGATTTCTGAAGGATCATGTGACACTAAAAACTGGAGTAATGGCTGCTAAAAATTAAGCTTTGCCATCACAGAAATAAATAGTTTTGAAATATATTTTTTTATCTTAATATTTCATAATATTACTGCTTTTACTGTATTTTTAATCAAATAAAAGCAGCCTTGGAGAGCATAAGAGACTTTATTATAAAAAACATTAAAGAATCTTACCGACCCCAAACTTTTGAACAGTATTGTAAATGTGATGATCCACCTATCAGGTAAATAAGATATAGAAATGACCAAGTCTCAATTGCCCATTTTTGATAATAATTGTATTATTTATGGCTGTTTAAAAAAAAAAAATAATAAAAAATCTCAATAAATTGCCAAATTTATTGGCAATCTCAATTTATTACTTTTGTCACTTAATGCTTGTTGCTGCTGCATTTCGAGTTGAACAGGGTTTCAACAGACATGAACAAGTTCAATTTAACACTTAAGACCTTTTTAATACCACATATAAAATTTAAGTCCTAAACCTGTAATGGAAATACACATTATATTACATACATATATGTAATATAGGATTTTATATTGATTTTTCCATACATTTCTGCCCTATGTACATTAACTGACAGTCACCACTAAATATTGTAGAAACTTAATTTGCTGTAAAGTTGCTTTGCAATGATTTGTATTGTGAAAAGCGCTGTACAAATAAACTTGAATTGAATTGAATTAATATTTAATGTTTAACATAAAAAGAAAACAAAATATCATCACTGTAATAAATTATATTTATTACTAATATATATAGTGAACTTTTCATGTCAGAAGACAATATTCCATGCAAAATATCCCCACAAAAGTACTGCATCACCAAGATTTTTGGTGGTGCAAACAATTTTTTCTGAAGCAATATTTTCAACTGTGTTCTATCAGCTTTTACATACTTAAATCTGCATATTTTTATTTACTTTTACAAAGGCCTATTTTTACAAATGCATAAATAATGTTTTGATATATTAAACATAAAACGTTAAATACTGATTTGAATTTATTTAAATAATAAAAAGGTACTTTAAATGTGAAATTAAAACCACCAGTAGGTGGCATCATGTCCCTGTTAATAAGTGATTCACTGCGATTGAACCAAATCATTTAAATGTTTGATTCATTCAGGAACGAAACACCGTCATGTTGCTCAGAGACGCAAAACAGCGCTTTGCTTTGTTATGAATTATTTTTGTTGGTGAAATCTAAAACAGGCAATATGGTGTCTGAAATGTAAGTCTCTTAATTAACGTCTAGTTTATTGAATTGTTGTAAAAAAATCAATATCACATTTGTAATCATGGTAATTTTTGGAGAAAAAACTGACTCTTCATGTGAAATTGATTAACTATATGAAGTGGTATAAATATATACATTTTCTGCTCCCATGTCTTGAATTTGTGATCATTCTGAATGCATTTTAATAGACCGAATCATGCAGTGAAACAGCACACTGTAAATGCGCACGCGTACCAGACTTCACCTAATATGTGCACTCTGAATGTGTTTTGAATGTTTTTTTGCGTCGTGAGAATATTCACGCTCATTTGTTCTGAAGTCTCTCACAAAGAGACAAACAGAGCGAGCCTCAAACAGCGGGACCTTGATACCAGAAATACATTATCCATGATCAATCGCCATTTACATTGAATGTAGGCTAATAAAATTAGAAGAAACATTCTCGCATTTCAATGCTAAGCTGGTTATTTATTTATTTTATTTTTTTTGTCACTTATGTTTTAATCAGGCCAAATTTTCCGGTCGGGCAAGCAAAAAAAATAATAGCTAGAAGGCTGATCAGCTGTAGCTCGACCTATATTATTATTAATATTATTATTATTATTATTATTGAGAACATTAAGAAGGTAGTTCGACCTGTATTCTGCTTCTGCGATTATCTTTGATGATGCAGTAACTTACCGCGGGGGAGAAAAAAATCTTAGGTCTGTCCAATGATTGTACAGTCATTAGGTCCGTCAGACTTAAGATATTTTAGCGATAATGTGACCAAAAATATTTAAGACCTATCGAATCTGAATTTAAGACATTAAGACTTTTTAAGGCCTTTTATTAGGAAAACCTTATTTAAGACTTTTTAACGACCCACGGACACCGGACACCCTGGTTGAAGCTCCGTCAAGTTAATTTTTTATCGTCTATTTTTCAATCTTAAAAAGAAGGTAGTTCGACCTGTATTCTGCTTCTGCGATTATCTTTGATGATGCAGTAACTTACCGCGGGGGAGAAAAAAATCTTAGGTCTGTCCAATGATTGTACAGTCATTAGGTCCGTCAGACTTAAGATATTTTAGCGATAATGTGACCAAAAATATTTAAGACCTATCGAATCTGAATTTAAGACATTTTAAGACTTTTTAAGGCCTTTTATTAGGAAAACCTTATTTAAGACTTTTTAACGACCCACGGACACCGGATACCCTGGTTGAAGCTCCGTCAAGTTAATTTTTTATCGTCTATTTTTCAATCTTAAAATCAATTTTATACACCATAATTTTCGTTTCTATAATGTGTGAATATACCCCCCATTGTATTTTACAACAAAAACAATCGGAGCACCTTGTTATCACTAGGGTAACACTTTAGAATAATGGTCCGTTGTTAACAAGTAACTATGCAGGAAGTAATAGGTAGTACTACATTAACACTTAACTTAATACTATTAACTAATAGAGAAGCAAGATTAACTAAGCAGTAAGTAGTAGCAAATTTAGGTATATAAATTATATATAATTTGATAATTATTAAATAAAAATATCCTCATTGAGAACTACTTGTGAACTATGACCAGTTAATAAAGAATAACCAATTAATTACTAATCACAACAGTAACGTCTTAAAAGTGAACAATTGGGTTCTTTGTGGAAACTAATTTATGATATCCCCCAAATAAGTCGGCTACATTTTAAAATTGTGACTACTACTCTTACCAGAGGATAGATGTTCAAACTTAAAAATAGAATAATAATAAAATGAAAAATCACTTAAAAATGTGAATAATTAAGAAGTGATGCTGACAAGCTCATGATTGAAGTAGTTCACAATTATGATCTCTGCTTCGTGTCAGTTCAGTATCAATGTATCCCACTCCAAAATACCTACTGGTAAAATATCACTAGTGCTTCACACAAATGTATGAATGTACAGTATGTCAGATATAAAATATGTTAAATAAATTATTAATTTACTTGTGAGTAATTACTGAGGAGTTAACGTGTTTTTCACTTTAAAATAATGGTCCAGATCACTAGTAGTTCCTTAGTAGCACTTTAGCTTTAAAGTGAAAAATGCATTAGCCTCTCACTAATTACTCAAGCGTTACCTTGTGAGCCTGCAGGAACTACTAGTGATCTGGACCATTATTTTAAAGTGAAAAGCATCTTAACCACTCAGTAATTACTAATGAGTAATTTAATAAGTTATTTAACATATTTTATATCTGACACATACATTTGTGTGAGGCACTAGTGATATTTTACCAGACACTGTAATCTGGAATATGCGGTTTTGTGCTTAACACAATATAAATGCAGTCGATGACTTCATTAAGGATGTGAATTGTTTTTGTCAAGAGAACATCATTATTTATATTCAAGAAAAGTCCTCCCCAGCCTACTGTCACTAAAGGTATAGGTCTTTTGGAGTCGGAGACATACTGAACTGACACAAACTAGAGCCCATAATTGTGAACTAATTCAATCACTTCCTAATTATTACAATTTTTAAATGAATTTTTTTTAATTATTATTTTATGTTTTTGTTTGAAATAAACAGAGAACATCCATCCTTTGGTAAGAGTAGTAGTCACAATTTCAACCTGTAGCCGACTTATTTGGGGGATATCATATTCATAAATTAGTTTCCACAAAGAACCCAATTGTTCACTTTTAAGACGTTACTGTTGTGATTAGTAATTAATTGGTTATTCTTTATTAATTGGTCTTAGTTCTCATGTAGTTCTCAATGAGGATATATTTCTTTTTAGTAATTATAAAATATCTAATAAGTAACTACCTTTGTCCTAAATTTGCTACTACTTACTGCTTAGTTAATCTTGCTTCTCTATTAGTTAATAGTATTAAGTTAAGTGTTAATGTAGTACTACCTATTACTTCCTGCATAGTTACTTGTTAACAACGGACCATTATTCTAAAGTGTTACCATCACTAGTTTTATTTTTATTTGCTGAGTCCGCTACTAGCTTATAGCGTTAGCATCGCTAATGCGGTTGCCGCTAATTTTGTTTATATTGCTTAAACTCCATTCTTTTACTTACTGTTACTTGCTTTAACCTTTTAGGCGCCAGGGATTTTTGGAAAAATGCTGGATTTTGACATCAAGATTTCAAAAGCTTGTGGCTTGAAAGGGCTTAAAGATAGAGATCTACTGTAAATTAGAAAAATGTTGGGCATGACCGAAAGTTTATGTGGGGTGTAAATATACTCGTCTAATTAGCATATTATGATGTCATTAGGGGGCGGCCATCTTGAATTTCATAATATTCAGGAAATAGTAGATATTGAATTGATGTTTGAACTTATTTGCATGTTTTTTTTGGTCTTTTTATCCTCATTCCAAATGATCAAAAAAGAGGAAACCAACAATAAAACAGGAGAAAGTACTAAATTATTACTATATTACTATACTAGTAAAACACATGTTAACAGTAGCCTACTTTTTGATCAGTTCATCAGTAATATTCAGGAAATAATAAATATTGAATGGATGTTTGAAATTATTTGCATGCTTTTTTGTCTTTTTATCCTCATTCCAAATGATCAGGAAAAGAGGAAATCAACAGTAAAACAGGAGAAAGTAGTAAATTATTACTATATTACTGTGCCATAGTAAAATGCATGTGCCCATTTTTTTGATCAGTTGACCAGCTATCTGCCCAATCAGGTATCTAGGTGACACAGTTTATAGTTCTTGAGAGTATGGTATCTCTCATTGCATGGCACAGCGCACAGACCTACCCCACACTGACTGCACCGTGTACCGCGGCCACTCCCACCTCTTTGGGGAACTGGATCCAGAGCCCTCTGACTGGATCCAAAGAGCGAGTGCTACTTCCAGCCCTATTTCTCCTACCCCTGCTGCCTCTACCTCTAGCAACAGCTCTCCTATGGACACAACGACCACATCCACTGCTGCCACCCCCATCCCCGTTGGGCAAAGAGTCAAAATGATCACTTGTTTGTGCTTCGTGAACACTCTCACCTTGCACGGCGGCACCATTGCGCTGCAAAGATGTACCGGGAGAAGCGCGATTATTACACGACCGATCGTCATTTCCAAAAGGCAAATATTCCCCTTCAGAGTCAGACGAGCGATCGTCATTTCCAAAAGGCAAATATTCCCCTTCAGAGTCAGAATCGGCGAATAACATTTGCAACACATCCTCACGGTATAACTTTTATTAGCCATTTGGCAATTTTTTCTCACAACTCTCACAATTTACTCGCACACTATGAACTGAACTGCTTCCGCATCAATGACACGATAGCTCACTTGCTCTGCTATGAATAGGAAGGTGACGTAATTTTGGTCTAGAATCGAAGTACTACATGTCTGGCTTCTAGTGGTAGGGAATACAAATGAGATATTACACCATATTAGGAACTACAGTCTATTTGATTAAGTATGATGTCTTGTTGCAATTTTACGACTTTGTCGCTTAGAGGGTTAAATGATGGATTTGTGTCTACCTTTGAGTGTAGGTGAGGACGCGTTCGAGCTGCACTCGGTGCATCTCAAGCTGGAGGCCGTGGAGAAGCAGATCCGTGACCTGGTGGAGAAGCCTAAAAGCCTTGGAAGCTACTCCACCAAGCTACTGTTATAAGCATGAGCCCCGTCAGACTGGTCGTGGCGGCGGTGTTGCAACAATATATAGTGATATTCTCAATGTTATTCAGAAAACAGGATACAGGTTTAACTCATTCGAAATACTTCTACTTAATGTTACACTGTCAGATATGCAAAAGAAATCTCTCCTATCTCTTGCTCTGGCTACTGTGTATAGACCGCCAGGGCCGTATAAAAATGTCCTAAAAGAATTTGCAGACCTTTTGGTTAATGTTGATAAAGCACTAATTGTCGAAGACTTTAACATTCATGTTGATAATATAAATGATGCGTTAGGACTTGCATTTACATACTTAATGAACTCTTTTGAAGTCAAGCAAAACATAACCAGACCCTCTAATCGTTTTAATCATACACTAGATTTAATTATATCACATGGAATTTATCTTAATGATCTATATATAGTACCTCAAAGTGATGATGTTACTGATCACTACATTGTATCGTGCATGCTGCCTATTACCGATATTAACTACACTGAACAAAATTATAAACGCAACACTTTTGTTTTTGCCCCCATTTTTCATGAGCTGAACTCAAAGATCTAAGACTTTTTCTATGAACACAAAAGGCCTATTTCTCTCAAATATTGTTCACAAATCTGTCTAAATCTGCGTTAGTGAGCACTTCTCCTTTGCCGAGATAATCCATCCACCTCACAGGTGTGGCATATCAAGATGCTGATTAGACAGCATGATTATTGCACAGGTGTGCCTTAGGCTGGCCACAATAAAAGGCCACTCTAAAATGTGCAGTTTTATCACACAGCACAATGCCACAGATGTCGCAAGTTTTGAGGGATCTTTTGAGGGAAGTTGTGCAATTGGAATGCTGACTGCAGGAATGTCCACCAGGCTAATCAGCATCTTGATATGCCACACCTGTGAGGTGGATGGATTATCTCGGCAAAGGAGAAGTGCTCACTAACACAGATTTAGACATATTTGTGAACAATATTTGAGAGAAATAGGCCTTTTGTGTACATAGAAAAAGTCTTAGATCTTTGAGTTCAGCTTATGAAAAATGGGGGCAAAAACAAAAGTGTTGCGTTTATAATTTTGTTCAGTGTATATGGCTCTGCGTTATCAACCAGGTAGAACTATTGTTCCAACAACCAAAGATAGATTCACAAATAAACTGCCTAATTTATCTCAACTTCTCTCTGTACCAAATATGTTACAAAAACAGCATTCTTCCACCTTAGAAACATTGCCAAGTTACGGAGCATGCTACCTGTTTCTGATGCAGAAAAGCTGGTTCATTCATTCATGACCTTTAGACTGGACTATTGTAATGCACTGCTAGGTGGTTGTCTTGCATCTTCAATAAACAAGCTACAGGTAGTACAAAATGCAGCTGCTAGAGTCCTTACCAGGTCAAGAAAATATGATCATATTACCCTAATTTTACATTCTCTGCACTGGCTACCTATTAAGTTCTTTATCAGTTACAAAATATTACTACTTACTTTTAAGGCCCTAAATGGTTTAGCTCCTGCGTACCTAACTAGTTTTCTACCACGCTACAATCATCCCACTCCCTAAGGTTACAAAACTCTGAACTCTTGGTAGTTCCTAGGATTGCAAAGTCCACTAAAGGAGGTAGAGCTTTTTCACATTTGGCTCCCAAACTCTGGAATAGCTTTCCTGATAACGTTCAGGGTTCAGACACACTCTCTCTGTTTAAATCTAGACTAAAGACACATCTCTTTAGCCAAGCATTCACATAATGTATCTCATAACCTTGTACTTCAGTTACATCTGATCAAATGCACATTTTCATTCTATTGCTTGGGTTGAACACATCTTTTTTTGCTTAGTTGGAACAGCAGCTATGCTAATTTTTCTCTATTACCTTCTCCGTTTCTGCCACAGGAATGGCATCTTGTGGTAACTAGGAATTACACAAGCTTCAGTCTGGATCCAGCCCTTACAAAGACCTGAGATGACCGAACACCTGAGAAGAGATGATGCCAACCCCCCAGAGGACCTCAGATGATGCCAACCCTCAGACAACATACAAAACTACCAAATTTTGCTATAATGGACATCAACTTGAGATAGTCACCACTGATAAGCTATTACTAAATATAATGTAGAATCTTTAATTTTCTGTAAAGCTGCTTTGCAACGATTTGCATCATGAAAAGCACTATACAAATAAATCTGAATTGAATTGAATATATTAACCCAGGAATACAGAGATTAAGGACTAAATCAAGGTACTGAAAGCTTTACGTTGGAGTGGGTTTGAGAACCTGGCAGATTTAAAGTTATTTTATGGGTCTGAAATGTGAAAACACATGTGTAGAGAGCAGAAGTATATTGATTTTTCATGTTACCTTCACTCTGCCTGTAGAGCGTGGAGTCACTGCCATCACAAACACTGCCATTATCATTACTGCCTTCTTGAGCACTCACCTCTAAAAAAAAACAAAAGAGATAGACATAAATCAAAGGAATCAAAACATTCCAGACAAAATTGTGCTTGTCTGGAAATGTCTGGTTATATGTTTTACTATAAATTAAACTTAACATAATTTTGGTTGACAAAACTGATGAGAAATTTTCATAGAAACAGGAATAAAATTTAGCAACATACTCAAAACACACACAAGCTAATCAAGCTAAATGAGCACAAAATACAAAAAGAAAATGTACTTAATATATGAATCCTCAAGGAAACTTTTGTCAGATAAATTTGACTTCTAAAGACAGTTTTGTTCACAAATAATCGCTAAGCAAACCCAGTGGCTCATTCAACTGCAAACATACAGTACACTTAATAAAATAAAATAAATGTAGAAACCCTGTAGTCTGTGTGACTAAACACAATGTGGCACAGATTAGCTGAGGGTCAAAACTGCCATGTTAGCTGTGAGAAAAAAGTGAGAGACGATACCGTTAGGTAGGTATACACATCATTGTGTCTACCTGACCAGACGGTTACCTTTCACTTTCTTTTTTCAGCTGACCTCGAGAGAGTACTAGCTCAATATCACCATGACAACAGCATAGAGAAAGAGACCACTGCACATTCTATCTGGCCTGTAACCGCCCCATGCAAGGCCAATGAAATACAGAGACAGAACACAGGTGTCATATGTAATGTATCAAACAGAGACAGAGCACAGCAATTGACAGATAACATTACAACTCATGCATAGATGGTCATATTTACTGTATGACTAAAGAGTAATTACCATTAGAACGTTTTTTTATATGTATTTTTTTTATATATTGTGTAAAATAAAATAATCATAATAAAAACAACATGAAATGGTAAATGATCAGAAATGGCTGTTTTGGATTTTTAAATACTTTGTAAAATAAAATAAAATAATTAATGAAATACCATTTATGGTTTTATGTAAAACAAAAAACCCATATGTATAAAAAAAAATCTTACAAAACATTAATATAACTGTATGCAACAGATCCTGGCATCCACAGCAAAGCAGATCAAATTGAGTCTGGCTCATAGTTTAGGGACTCTCACTCACACAGCAGGCCTATGAAATAGCTTTCAATTTAGAAACTAAGAATTCAAATGAGTTCATTTAGGAAATGACAGTTCAATTACGTGTACACAAGAACTGATACAGACCCACATAGTCACTCACACAGACTATCAGTTCTAAGAATAGTCCTTCATTTGGCTGAAAGAAACAAGTTGAATATCTAGAAACAGTGAGTGTGCATCTGACAAACTGATAATGGCACAGTTTTACACTGTGACCACAGTACATTATATGTGACCTGAGTCACACACAAACACATAAACCATAAAAATAAACACGTGTAACCAATTCAAGGCATTTGCCAATGTATCAGTGCACAGAACAGTTGTTTCAGTCTTTATTACTCTCTAATTTATAAGAACTCACAAACACTTTTTAGAGTCCCTACACCTCAAAGACACTTCAGAGGCAGACAAATTGAATGCAAATACGCATTCCCAACAAACCCAGCTAAAGGGTTCATCTCCATATTTGCAAGACCAGGGGTTAACAATAATGATAGTCTGATGACGTGAAGGTGACATTATCTAGCTGGCACAGATGAGGTTGAAATTGCAAGAAAAAAATGTGATGGAAGCATGGATAAAATGTGAACATGAAACACATGTAGAGTGTGAATGCTATTCTGTCCTGATGTTTTTTAGAAAACAGCAAAAAAACACCAACTCACCTGTCAATTATACACTGTACTTTTTAAAGGTTTTGTAAGGTTTGCATATGGAACAAAATAACTGCCTGATCACATCAGTTGCTTTAGTATCTTAATGTTTAGAATCTTGGTGTTCAGAAACCTTATCACATGAAGCTGTGTTATGATGTGAAGAACATCAATGTTCATTCTGTAATATCCAAGAGGTGCTGAATATGGATTACACTGTCTGACAGATTAATTTATACACTCCAATGATGAATGCAGAGCATCACACAGGCTCCTCTGGTCTCTTTTTAAATTCCATCTCATCACATCACTCCATGTATCTCTATGAGACAGGCACAGCTTGTGTTGCTCAGAATCATTCAGCTGAATGAGTGTGACAGACAGAAACTTTTCCTACAGCTCCACCACTTCACATACATGCTCTTATACAAGTAATGCACACCATAAAATGAGTAAAAAAATTAATAAATACTGGATCGTCCCTACAATACTGACACTTTCAATATTAATTAAGAAGATTGATCCTCATAATTAAAAAATATAGATTTTTTTTCTTTACTAATGATTTAATTTATTTGGCATGATGATTTAATATACATGAAATTGCAGTGAACTGTATGTATAGGTACTTTTTTGGAGGTGTTTTTATGTGACGTTGAGGGTTTAGTTACATCCAAAATCAGTGATATAAGGATTAGTGAGTGCTATGATAACACTAATGCTACAGTAGGAGAGATGCTACAGTAGGGATGTATCCCTATGCTAGCAGTGTTAAAATAACTGACCTACACTATAGTATTACTAGCAGTCTATCTAATAAAAACAGCAATGGTGTAGCACAGTGTAAAATCAAATAATCCCCTTACCATCAGACTACACCCACACATACCTTTCATCTCTCTCTATGTCTTGCTATCAGAGGAAATAGGATTACTGCTGCTAGGCTTTCATTTGAAATGAGAAAAATACGGATTATCCAACATGAGTCAGTGAGCGTGCTGCGTACTACCAGCCCATTGAATGTGTGTGGACAGTGACGCAACGACTGAGTAACTGCCTCCTTCTCATAAATGATCTGTCACTGCTTTATAGTTTCATTTGCAGTCTGGTGCTCATGTTTATTTGTGTGTGTGCTTGTGTGTTGTGAGGGTCCACATACTTGTACAGGTTAATTTGTGTGAGAGAGCGAGTTTTTATACAGTCCCAGTTTGTATAGGTCAGCTATAGTTAGCCTGCAAGCGAGTTAATGTGTGTGTGTTTGTGTGTGTTCAGGCTGTTTCTCTCTGTCCTTGAAAAACACACAGATCAAATTTAATAAGAAACATTGATGTGATCTCACTGTAGGTCATGGCTGCAGCTGTTAAATGGGCTGTGTCTCTATAACGCCACACTTTAACTGCACCCAAAGAGAGAGTAAAGAGAATAGAAAGATAAATAGAAAGAATACAGCAGATAAAGAAGAAATATTTAATACATTTGATTATAACATATATCACTTTTGACATTTACAGTAAAACTGCAATCTCACTAAACTGTAATTCCTTTAGGTGCATGATGGAAGAATAAATTATCACAAACTATGCTATCAACACAAGAAATGAATGAAATTAATTTAAACTGCCAAAATAAAAGCACAGTTTTTTTTTTTACTATTGATAATAATAAGAAATGTTTCTTGAGCACAAAATCAGCATATTAAAATGATTTCTGAAGGATGATGTTACATCGAAGACTGGAGTAATTGCTGCTGAAAATTCAGCTTTGCCATCACAATATATTAAATTACAAAACACTTATTTTAAAATGTATATACTATTTCACAATTTCATTCAGTATTATTTCACAATTTCATTTCAATCAATTATCACAAACAATGCTATCAACACATGAAATTAATGAAATGAAATTAATTTTTTTAAGATCTGTTCATGTCAAGTCAAGTCTGTTCATGTCTAGTCAAGTCTCTGATTATTGTTTGGATCACCTGTAAATAAACTGCACTTGGGTTCTTCACTACGCTCGCCTTCATACATAACCCCAAAGCCTGTTCACGTCATGCCTGCCAAGCCAAGGACTGCTCACGTCACGCCTGCTATGCCACAGCCTGCACACGTCATGTCTGCTACGCCAAAGCCTGCTCACGTCATGCCCGCTACTCCAGGACCTGCTCAAATCATGCCAGTTAAGTCAAAGTTTACTCATGTCATATCTACCAAGTCAGAACCTGTTCACTTCATGTCTGCCAAGCCAGAGTCTGCTAACGTCATGTCTGCTATCCCAGGGCCTGCTCACGTCACGTCTGTCAAGCCAGAGCTTACTCATGTCATACCGGCACCTCAAGAGATTCTTCTCAACATGGCCACCATTGAAGAGCTTCGTTGCAAGATGGCCACCACACAAGAGTCTTGTCACGACATGGCCGCCACGCCGGAGCTTGGGCTTGGACTGAAAGGTCTGATTGCTAGTGTGATGGACCCACCTCTGATGTCGGCGCGAGCTGCAGGCATCCCGGCGACGTCAGCACTCTCAAGCCCCACCATCTTAGAGGTCATGCCACACTCTGCTGCCCTTCCTGTAATGGCGGTCGCCATTTTGAGCGTGTGGGCTGCACACTGCGCTCCAGAGTCCTCTCCTGTCTATGAATCTGCTCCTGAGGCCATTCCTGTCCATGAATCTGCCCCAGTGGCCTCTCCTGCCTATGAGTCTGTCTCAGAGCCCTCTTCTATCCACGAGTCTGCTCCAAGGGCCTTTCCTGTGCCTCCAGAAGTGGTAGCATCCGGTGCAGAACCTCCAGAGGTGGCGGTATCCGCTTCCGAACCTCCTGAGGTGGTGGTGTCCGCTTCCGAACTCACTTCCTGCCCTGTCACTGCCACAGAGGCCGTTCACGAACTCACTGCCTGCCCTGTCACGGCCATGGAGGCCGTTCACGAACTCACTGCCTGCCCTGTCACGGCCATGGGGGCCGTCCATGAACTCACTGTCTGCCATGTCATGACTATGGAGGCCATTCATGAACTCACTGTCTGTCCTGTTACGGTCATGGAGGCCGTTCATGAACTCACTGTCTGTCCTTTCACAGCCAAGGAGGCCATTCAAGAACTCTCTGCTTGTTCTGTCTCAGTCAAGTGGTCTATCCATGTCTCTGCTCCGCCATGGCTTCCTGCTCTGCCGTCACCACCCGGCCGCCCTGCTCTGCCTGCTCCGCCATGGCCCCCCGCTCTGCCTGCTCTGCCATGGCTCCCTGCTCTGCCTGTTCCGCTTCATGGGCCTGGCCCTCCGTCCCTCCCCCAGTTCCGCCTCCACTCCACCACCCTCCTGGACCTTTTTAGATTTTGTTTGGGCATCTGGAGCCACCCTTAGAGGGGGGGGGGGGCTATGTAATGGGGGGTTTTGTTTCGTTTTCATGTCTTTTATTTTATAATTGTTTCACCTTGTTAGTGTCATGCTTCCCTTGCCCTCATGTATCTCTGCCTTGTGTATGTGTCATATTCTGATTGGTTGTCCTAGTCATGTGTCTTGTTTCCCATTGGTTTGTTCTTGTCATGTGACCCTCTTGTTTGCTATAAGTAGCCATCATGTTACCATTGTCTCTGGTTGTGTATTGATGTTGTAACCTGCTGTCGGTGAGTCTAGTCTGTTCATTCCTCGTCAAGTCTGTGTATCTTGTTTGGATCACTGTAAATAAAACTGCACTTGGGTTCTCACTTCAACTCGCCTTCAGTGGATGATTCGTTACAAGACATTTCATATTGTTGTACTTTTGAACGTAATATTCAAATAAGGCTTCCTGCTCTGCCGTCACCACCCGGCCGCCCTGCTCTGCCTGCTCCGCCATGGCCCCCCCGCTCTGCCTGCTCTGCCTGCTCCGCCATGGCCCCCTGCTCTGCCTGCTCCGCCATGGCCCCCCGCTCTGCCTGCTCTGCCATGGCTCCCTGCTCTGCCTGTTCCGCTTCATGGGCCTGGCCCTCCGTCCCTCCCCCAGTTCCGCCTCCACTCCACCACCCTCCTGGACCTTTTTAGATTTTGTTTGGGCATCTGGAGCCACCCTTAGAGGGGGGGGGGGGATATGTAATGTGGGGTTTTGTTTCGTTTTCATGTCTTTTATTTTATAATTGTTTCACCTTGTTAGTGTCATGCTTCCCTTGCCCTCATGTATCTCTGCCTTGTGTATGTGTCATATTCTGATTGGTTGTCCTAGTCATGTGTCTTGTTTCCCATTGGTTTGTTCTTGTCATGTGACCCTCTTGTTTGCTATAAGTAGCCATCATGTTACCATTGTCTCTGGTTGTGTATTGATGTTGTAACCTGCTGTCGGTGAGTCTAGTCTGTTCATTCCTCGTCAAGTCTGTGTATCTTGTTTGGATCACTGTAAATAAAACTGCACTTGGGTTCTCACTTCAACTCGCCTTCAGTGGATGATTCGTTACAAGACATTTCATATTGTTGTACTTTTGAACGTAATATTCAAATAATTCAGAAAAAAAATGTTTTACAGTTTCTGCCAGAATAAAAAAAAAACAGCTTTTTTTTCAAAATTGATAAGAAATGTTTCTTGAGCACCAAATCAGGATCATGTTACATAGAAGACTGGAGTAATGGCTGCGGAAAATTCAGCTTTCCCAGGAAAATATATTAAATTACAAAACACTTATTTGAAAATTACTACCACTATTTCACAATTTGCTATTTTTACTGTGTTTTTATCTATTAAAGAGACTCTTTAAAAATCTTTATTTACCAAAATGTTTGAACTTGATTTATTAAGAATTATTTAGAAATAACAAAAAATATTAAGACAAGATTTGTTTCATTATGATTAGTTAAAAGTTAATGCACTACAGTGATTTTAATAAGCAATAAAAGACATACTGCCATGAATTAATAACCTATTTAAATAGAAAACAGTAAACTTTTTACATTAGTTATTTTTTACGGCTGACCTTATTACATATGCATTTGTAGGTGTTTCCCTTTCAGATACAAAATTTATAGGAGGGTATGAAAATGGCATGACATGGCTGCAATAATCGCTAATTTGCACTGCTCTTTATAATTGTCCTGTTTTTAAATCGTCTAATTTGCCCTGTTTGGTAAACCTGACCCAATATGTGGTATTTATAAAAATGTTTACATGACTAGCAAAAGTGGCAAATCTTTTTAATAATCTAGTTCATTCAGAGCAGATGAGATTATCTATTTTATTGTTGATGATTATATATTTTTAATCTGACTCTAATTAAAACAGCCTTGCCATTAATCATGTATCAGTAATTAATGGCTCTTGCTGAGGTAAGCATCACAATTATTATTGCCCACAGGGTGTTCATCAGCAAATGTATTGAACATCAGGATGTGACTTGTCTCACTCATACAGACTTGAATGATGTGCTATTATGTTTCTAAGCAGGCAATACAACAGCAAAGAAAAAAAGGAGGAACCAAAGTGGGCTATCTTAATTAAGGCTGATAAGCAACTACACTAAGCACCCTAGCAACCCCCTTGTAATCATGCCATGAAATACCCTAGGAGACGCATAGCAATTTTAGCACTATAGCATAATACTGCTAATACTTATAATGGGGGCAGTCATGTCCAAATGGTTAGAGAGTCTGACTTGTCGCGGGTTTGCGTCTTGGTACCAGCAGGGATTTTAGGTGGAGGGAGTGAATGACCCCACTATTCCGCCCTCAATACCACGACTGAGGTGAGACCCTTGAGCAAGGCACCGAACCCCCTTTTTCCTACTAATAATATATACCAGTATTCATACCTCTATTACCTTTGTGAAAAATTAGTACACAGTTATTAGTCAACACATGAAATTAAGTATACTTATTTACAGCATGACAAAATCTCATTTAAACATTATTTAAAAAGTAAAAGTGAAAATAGTGCCATTACAAGTTACAAGTCACCAATAACACTTGAGTAAAAGTCTTGGTGTCTTATTTTAATAGTAGGCTACTTAACTATTTTACTCATTGTGAATGTAGACTCAAAGATGCACTAGTCTGAGAAAAGAGAAAAACAAGAAACCGCTAATTATTTTTCATGCTGATTAAGAGCATGTATTAAAACAAAAATAAAACTGAACACTCAATATTGCAATAAATCAAGGACAACACAACTGCCTCTTAAACATCTAAAAACGCCCACATCTCAGTTAAGCTGCATGCACAAAAAGGATTTAAAACTTAAACCAAAATCCTTCAAAATAATGACTCTTCAAGATAACTAAAATAATATTAAGTAAAAGGTTGTGTGGTAAATTAATTGCCATCCAAATCCACATATCACATCCACGTTTCAACTACAGCACGTCTATTTTCTTATTTTTTTTAACAGGAGATTTAAATAATCAAGTAATAAACAGGATATCATTTTAAATACAATTTTTTCTTATTATTTCCAAGCAAAACAAATTATTTACAGCAGATGATTATGCAACTGTCCATGTGAGCAGTGTGTAGGAACACAGAACTCTCCTCTACCATGAATAAATTGCCATCTGAATGCAAGCATTTTATCAATGAGCTGCCATGTAAATTTATTTCTACAGATGTTCACATGAGAAACAATTACTGTCTGAACTGGGCTAAAGCCTACTTGCACAGGATTTACTCATTTTGACCTCATCACTGGCTGTAGCCACGTGCTCATCTCAAATTATATCACCTGTGATTCAGGAACTAGCTGCTAATGCACTCACATTCTAATGCACTCACATAAAGTAGCCTCATTTCAGGTCTTTTACTTTTAATATCCTGTACATGGCTATATCACTTCTTTTGTAACAAAAATAAACTGCTGCAAAAAAAGTAAGGTGCCATGCAAAATGCAGTGAGTAACTGAATTACTTGTTACAAATGTAGTGGAGTAAAGTGTACATATTTATTAAAAAAAAAATCAAAGTCAAAGAGAGAGTAGAAGATGCTAAAATCTTTGATACAAGGTAACCAAAAAGATACTTAAGTACAGTAAATTTACTCAAATGCTTTACACCTCTGGCTTATTTTAGCACCACTCACCGGACATAATGAAAACTGAACACACTTTTAACGACACTCAAAATATTGCAAAACATGCAAGAAGCACCCTAATATCATTTTGTGAAAATATTGCCTCTGACACTTTAAAAAAAAAATTAGTCTGGCTTGCATAAAAGAGTCAACCGTTTGTCTTTGATGATTTAACTATTGAAAACTGTTGAGTTGTGATACTTGCATATAGAAGACTTAGGTTAAAATCAAACCTACAATGTGTGTCCAAATCCTTTTCATCCTTTTCTGTCTTAGTTTAATTTTGTGTTCCCACACTCGAAATATAAAAATTTAATATTATTTTATTGCCTTCTTATTGTCTTGTAATCAAAATATATTTCTGGACTTATACTGACACCTAGTAGTGTGAATGCAGCATTACCTGAAAGTCAAGGTTTTCAGCTACTAGTGTCATTGTAAAAATGCCATTAATCATTTAATCTGCTGGCCAAAGTGTCTGATAATAGTGGGGTTACTAAGATAAATTGAGTAGCATAACTTATACACACACTGCAGGATGTAGAGTTTGTATGTGTGTATTTCGTACCTGGTAACTCAGATAATGCTCCTCTTTCAATGATGTGTTTCCTGTAGAGGGTCTTCAGCACCTTGGCGCTGCCAAATCTCTTAAACCGACTCTTCACATTATTGTAGTACCATTCTAGGGACTGTGTCCTCAATAGCCTACACACAAAAGACAGTGGGTGGATGTTAATTTACATACATATTAGCTCTACTATGCAAATAGACAAAAAGTAATACTAGATGTAAGGCCTTTTTAGACTAGCTTTTTTATATTTTCTAATTATAACTACAATTTAACATTATATGGTTCAACAACAAGCGAACAATGCAAGGATGACACACTCAAACAATAGTAAGGCCTTAATTTAAGATTTGCATTGCATATAAAAATTCCATCAATCTGGGTTACACAGTTCAAACCTAACCAGTGTCACTGCTTTAATACAAATAATAAAACTGCATTTCATTTGTATTACAGCACTGCTTTAAAAACAATTGTGTATGCATTGCCAACATAGAACTAATGTCTTTTCTCTGCTCTATTACAGAGAGTAAAAATACTTTATAATTGGTGTGTAGTCATTGCTCAGTGACAACCACTAGGCTGACACTGTTTTATTGCAGACATTGTGCAGTCATTGCTCTGTTTAATGATTGTGCTGTCACTGCTCTATTATAACTATTTAACATCAATGACCGATTGCAATTAAACTTAAAAATGGCTTTATTATTATAAATACTGCTCTATCATTGCTCTTTGACTTTAAGAGTATAATATTGTTTCATTGTGGAGTCATTGTTCTGTAACAACTGTTGTGCTGTCATTACTCCATCTACAGTAGAACACTGTAAAGGTACCCTACCGCTCAAAAGTTTGGGATCAGTAAGACTTGTAATGTTTTTTAAAGAAGTCTCTTATGCTCATCAAGGCTGCATTTATTTGATCAAAAATACAGAAAAAAAAATGTATCTCGCAAAATGTTATTACAATATAAAGTAATGGTTTCTATTTTAATATACTTTATTGCTGTGATCAATGCTGAAATTCCATCAGCCATTACTCCAGTATAAATTGTCCCATGACCCTCAAGAAATCATTCTAATATGCTGATTTATTATCAGTGCTGGAAACTGTTGTGCTGCTTAATATTTTTTGGAACCTGTGATACTTTTTTCAGGATTCTTTGATGAATTCCCATGACCCTCAAGAAATCATTCTAATATGCTGATTTATTATCAGTGCTGGAAACTGTTGTGCTGCTTAATATTTTTTGGAACCTGTGATACTTTTTTCAGGATTCTTTGATGAATAAAAAGTTAAAAAGAAGAGCATTTATTTCAAATAGAAATCTTTTTAACAATATACACTGCCGTTCAAAAGTTTGGGGTCAGTCAATTTTTATTCTTTCTACTTTTGAAAGAAATTAAAACTTTTTTTTGATAAGAAGTGATAGCAAAGATTTATATTGTTAGAAAAGATTTATATTTTGAATAAATGCTGTTCTTTTTTTATTAATTTATTTTTTTTATTAAGGATTTTCAAATAATACAAACACTAACAATCAAAACAATCAAACAAACAAAAACCCCAAGCGCTGAGAATTAAATAGCATATCCCTGAAAATATTAATCTCTACCTGTCGAATTCAAACAAAAACATGTCAGGAAAGGAAGAGCCAAAGCTCTCTTAAAATAAAAGTTCAGTTTTTGTAAAAAAGAGTGGAGGGGTTCCCAAAGTCTCCAGAATTTGTTTGCCTTGTGATTGAGATCATAAGGTAATTTCTCCAGAGGAAGAAAGGCAGACAGCTGGGATATCCACATAGTAACAGTTGGAACCTGAGGCGTAGACCACTTCAGTAGAATACATTTTTTAGCCCAAAATGAGAGGATTAATGCTGTTCTTTTTAACTCTTTATTCATCAAAGAATCCTGAAAAAAGTATTGCAGTTTCCAAAAAAAAAAAAAAAAAAATTGGCAGGACAACTATTGCCAACACTGATAATTCTAATAATAAATCGGCATATTAGAATGAATTCTGAAGGATCATGTGACACTTTAGACCGGAGTAATGGCTGATGGAAATTCAGCCTTCCATCACAGAAATAAATTCTATTTTAAGGGATATTAAAATAGAAACCATTATTTTATATTGTAATAACATTTTGCAAGATTACTGTTTTTTCTGTATTTTTGATCAAATAAATGCAGCCTTGATGAGCATATAGAAGACTTCTTTAAAACACATTACAAGTCTTACTGATCCTAAACTTTTGAGTGGTAGTGTATCTCTCTCACAACTATGTGCTTTATGACAAAGTATATTAATGATTCATTAAAACTGTTTTTTGTAACTGTCCAATTTTATTATCCCCATTCCTTTTCAATATAGAAAAAAAAGTTAAAGAGTGTGTAGTAAATGCAACCTACACATTGCAACCAAAATGACGGTTAAACAAAGCTAGAGTCAGATTTTAAATATATAATTTTAATTTCATTTATTGTAAAGAACGCAACACAAACTCTTCTCATATTCAAATCCAGTCAGGCTAGAAGATAAAGAGAGACTCAAATATTTGAGAGGAAATTTTCATCTAAATGAGATCTGAATTAAATCTGTGAAGGGAATTAAAATGCTCATCTGTGAGTCTGCTGAGCTCTCCGACACTTCCCATGGCAAAAGAGACCATTACCATAATTGACTTTCTGAAGCGTTAATGAATAGAACTTGTGTCCATTGGGCAACATGAGCAGAGTTGGACAGAGACGGATGGTGAGAGAATCAGGCACAGGGTGTTTGGGGTTTATAGTAAATTAATGCCCAAATTAATGCTTTTCAGTTTTTGTGTATTACAGAGAGGAGTGTAAAAAGTGCTGAAAATGATTTTCAATTTAAATTATAGGTCCTGTGTCACAATGTTCTGTGTCAAAAAAGTTGAAGTATCTCATAATAAAATACTTATATAAATTAATACTTAATTAAACTACATTTACAGTAGTTATATTTAGGAAACATGCTCATATACATGTTTTTCGAAAAACAATGAGACAGCCAGTTATTCTACTTTTTTTTGTGTTCTCTGTGGGAATGTCTGCTTTTGTTTTGGTCTATGTGATTCCGCCAAATTTACTCAACAGTATTTCGACAATGGGTTGGTTGTCAGTTGGTGGAAAACACAGCATTTTGCAGTAATGGAAGCCAGAAAACAAACTGGGTCAGAGATTTCATATTCTACCCAATGTAAAAAGCTTACAATCATTCCTGTTGTCTTTAATCTGGCAACCTGCACGATTGTTGAGTTTGAGGAGGGGGCCATGGGAGAAACAACTTTTAATTTAGACTGCAGTTCCCATTTCAACCACTAGCTGTCAATGTTACATACTGCTTTTTAAAATGTTTATATGCAGGGTTCAGGGGTCTAAAGGGGTGCTAGAGGGTGAATGAAAACAAAGAAAACAAATGAAAAAAAGAGTACCCTCTGTTGAGGCTGTAAAAATAGGATATTGGCAAAACAGATTTGCAAATGCCAGTGCATATTTATGTTTTCACTAAAGACAGCTTCAACGGTTTCTATTTACAAAATGTTTCTGTAGTGTTGAGCAATGAATCCAAATGTTTTGTTCAGTGCTAAGTCAAGTAAGTTTGTGAATCCTCTCATTATAACAAACAAAGTGTAGACACAATTTAAATTAAAGCTGCAAGCAGCGATGAAAGGGCCCTCGCACCCGGGTTCACTGCCAACCGGTGGCTTTAGAAAAACAGCGAATGGTGAGCAATATGCATTTAAAGTGGTAAATATAGGAGGGATATGTCAAAGTCATTTGTATGTGCCAAACTTCCTGCTGCCAGCTGGTGGTGCTATTACTTATAACGGAATATTGGCATGTGGCAATCTTTAAGCCAGGACTTTGATCAAACATATGAAGTTTGGTGCAGACTGTAAAATGTAAAACAAGTCATTTCCTGTTGCCAGCAGATGGCACTATGATTATAACTGAATATTGGCATTTAGATATCTTCAGGCCAGGACTCTTATCAAACGTGTGAAGTTTGGGGCAGATCATCAGACATTGTATGGCTACATAGACGTATAATTGCAGGATACACTCTTGAAATAACAATAACAATGGATAAGACAAAATATCATGTCAAAATAGATGTGCATTAAGGCTAGAGCACCCTCACTAATTTCAAAAGCACCCACAGTGATTTGATTCCGAAACTGGGCCTGAATATTTAAATGCCAAAGTATTTTTGGTCTTTGGTTTTAGACTGATGAAATGGTAGATAGAAAAGAGATTTTACAAATAAACTTTCTCAATTAAAGTAAATAATTCCTGAGACTGTAAGGCTCTAGTTCAGGGGTGCCCAACCCTGTTCCTGGAGATCTACCTTCCTGCAGTGTTCAGCTCCAACCCTGATCAAACACAACTGAACCAACTAATTAGGATCTGAAGGAGCACTTGATAATTACAGACAGGTGTGTTTGATCAGGGCTGGAACTGAACTCTGCAGGAAGGTAGATCATCAGGAACAGGGTTCAGCACCCCTGCTCTAATTCAACTGAAACTTGAAATGGTCAAATTAAATTCAGTAGCAGTTATTTATAGATTAATTGACTCAAGTCAAGTTCACCAGCATCAATCATGGTTATAATTTAAATGCATTTATTAAAGCAACCGTTTTAGATCAAAGACTCTATTTTGCAGTGACTGATGATACATCTTTTTACAAAGACTAATGACCATGGTTGTTGTCACTTACATTTAAAATATAAACTACATAAATTATCATCTAATCAATTCAAGTTTAGAACCAAGACCCACATTGTTTCTTATTCAATATTCAGTTTCACAAATACTTCAGAATATAAAATTTAAATTTTCATTTTTGGATGCGACCATCATTTCATGTTGACTTTAAAGCAAATTAATTTGCAACCTCTACTTTATATTCTGTGTTCAAGCAAACAATTTACAGAGAATTAGATGTTATTTTATCTCTAAGCATAAGAATGGTTAGTTCTCAGCATCTCCATGACCCACTTTTAGAAAGAGGACGCAGAATTAAGATCCATAAACCACAGTGGCAATGATTTCTGCCGTAAATTATATTATAATATCTGACATAATGTAATGAAGCAGCGGCCTGCAGCAGAGAG